GTGTAACAGCAGCTTACTTTATGACAAAGATGTTGAGACTGCTGTAGACTATCATCGATATCTCAATACAAAAGGTTACGGAGCTCTAATATACAGGTTTTTTACTAGCATACTCTGTCCTTTTTTATTTCCCTCTTGATGCTAGTGTGCTGACTATAAATTTCTTTACAGTGGTGATCATGACACAGTGGTTCCGTACGTGGGAACTGAAGCATGGATTAAGTCCCTGAATTTGTCGATTGTTGATGATTGGAGGCCATGGTTTGTTGATGGTCAAGTTGGAGGGTAAGCCTAATGACTGTAATCAGATTTTGTTTCCCATGTAGCCTCAATGTCTATGTGCTGTGGAGGAGTATCTAATTCCCTTTTTCTTTATGATGCTTTGCTGCTGAATATTTTTTGTGTAGATACTCAAGAGAATATGGAAACAACTTCACATTTGCAACTGTAAAGGCAAGAGTACCTGTGTTTCTTATAATATTATTTATTGCTTAGTCTATTTGAAGAAAATAACTTGTAATAGAGTTTGGTTTTTTCAGGGAGGGGGTCACACAGCTCCAGAGTTCAAGCCTAAGGAATGCTTTGCCATGTTTAAGAGATGGATTTCGCAGGAACATTTGTGATCAACAGCTAGTTCCTATTTAGTCTTGAAGAGTTGTAAACCTCATGCATATTGTAATGATTGATCAATAAAGCTATGTACTATATTGTTGCCTTATGTACTCTATGGTTTTTCCTTTGTTTATGATTTTTCTATATATTTGTTATAACTATAAAATAGAATATAAGATCTAAATTTACCATTTTATTCAAGGTGATAAATCAAATTTATCACTCATCTTTGAGCAAGCGCAAATTTAATTTTATCACTTTAGTTTTTTTATTTGGTTCAAAACTGAGAAAAGATTAACAATAAAAAAGAATATTTGATGAAGAAATAAAGAAATGTTTTGCAAAATATTTTTTATAGAGAAGGGAACATGTTAGCAGATTTTGTAACAAGTAGGGGGTTTTCATTAGATGAAACATGCATGGTTTATGATGATCCTCCTATGGGAGCCTGGGAGATTATGATGTATGATGTAATAGGGGTCCGTTTCCTCATATTGATTAGAATGTAAAACATCTATTCCCCCCCACCTCCCCTCCCAAAAAAAAAGTACAATGATAAAATTTCACTCCTTTAAAAATAAATGGTAAATTAGATACATCACCTAAAAAAAATGATAAATTTGGACCTTATCCTAAGAATGTAAAAAACTTGAGCAACCATCTTATATCTAATCTAATTAATCATGATTATTCTGGTAAAGTCCCATGAAAATTTCATGAGATTTGCTATATTTTCCTTTCTTTATAATCCCTAGCAGTGCGTTTTAAATACAGTACAGCAACATGGGCAGCATTACTGGCTGTGACTCACCTGTTAACATGGTTTCTAATTTCTACAATATATATATATATATATAGGCAGTTGATGTCATTTGGTGTGATAAACAAAAATGATTCAGCAGAGGGAGAGGGACCCTGGCCAGGAATTGATCATATGTTAATTCCACTGGGCTCTTCAGAGAGTAGGGGACAAGAAATTATGAGACTATGCAAAGCCTTGGATAACTCGTTAATAGTTTATGAATTGAAAGAATGAGAAAATGTGTATCTATAAATAGGAATTGGACCAAGAGAAGATTGTGAACGGCAAAATCAATGTCCAATGGGTTGTCGTCGGTAGTGTCGTTTTTCTGTTTCCTGATATTAGTTGCCTACACGTCAGTTTCTTTTAGATTTGCAGCCCCTACTTATGGGTTACACATCAAAAGCTACATTGATTTATCTCTAGAATATTCATGGGATTAATGATCACTTACAGCGTTTAAGCCAGTACGAGAGAATAAATAATACTAGTAGAACCATTAACCTTTTAAATGTTTGATTTGGTACTTAAATGTTTAAAAATTTACAACTAAATCTCAAACTTTACTTCTGTTACATAATTTGCATTTCAGATTAATTTCATTAATCAAATAAGTGACATGAAAAATATAATCAATTAAGAGCTGAAAATCCCAAGCATGTTGTAACAAGCTAATGCCACATCATGGAAGTGGAAAAATGCCTAAAGCCATCTTTCTTTACAGATTTTATGTTTTTTGGACATTAGCCTAGTCATTATTTAATCCCCTTGATTGAAATTTGTAAGAAATCAAATTTGTTGACCTTATTATAATAAATCCTCTAGTCGTAACCAAAATTTTATAAACGTCTCCATAGGCAAAGAACAATTAACCAGCTGTCTAAGTTTTCACATGGTGAATGGTAAGCAAAGTCTAAATGGGACGTGAAGAGAAACGAAAGAAGTTCCATGAGGCGGTTCTCAAAACACTCTATCCACCGCCGTCTCCACCGGACTCGGAGGGGGAAGAGGAAGAGGGAAACAAGCCTGGTATCATATCAGAGAGGGCCGTTACCTTGGAGCTTGAAAACCCAGGTTTTTTAATATATTAACATCAAGTAATTAGTTTCTAGTTGTTTGATAAAATTGCAATGTAACCATTAGGGTGGCAGATGATTTTGGAGAGAATGGTTCCTCAACGAGTGACGACGACGATGATGGACGTCAAGCTGAGACTCTGAAGCTGAGTAGAGCTCAAAGGAAAAGACTTCGTAAGAAAAGGCTCAAGGAAGATGCTTTCCGCCGTGGAAAGATAATTGGGCCTTTGTTACCATTGTCTGAACATGATGGAGTTGGCTCGTTGCAGACTGAACCCCAAGGTGTTCGAGAAAATGCTGTACAGGACCAAGTTGCCTCAAATGACAAGCCTGGTAAAATTTTAACTAGGTCTATTTACTTATGAGTAGGAAATGGACACTTTCTAGATAATATAACTCTATTAACTTTGGGTGTTTGTTCAGGCGATCAGCAGGGTGGTTGCGGTAGCAAGAAGAAGCTGAAGCAGAGGAGAATTGCTAAGAGGACGGCTAGGGAGGGGTTGAAATCCACTGAAACTGAGAAACCTGATCAAGATAAAGAGCATCAAGTCCTCCAATAAGAAGTGCGATCAAGATCAAGAATTGAAGTCCTCTCCCATGGAGAGTTATGATCCAGATGATGGTCCTTGTGTGGTGAAGACTCAAGTAATATTTCACCTGCCACTGCTGCAATGCTGTAGGCATTACAAAAAGAAAATAATGTAACTTAAAGAATAGATTCATTAACTTAAAATTACCGATGAAATTTAGGTTCATTCTCCAGGAAACAGCATTTGAGAGCTTTTATCTGTGCTTAGCTGCTGCTGCTTCTTGTTCTCTTTCTTCTTCGGGTTTGTCAATGCTGTAGTAACCTTTTTGAAATCATCCAGATTTGTCATCAAATGGCTTTTAAGTAACGCCGAAACAAAATGATTGGTATAATGAATTCACCCAATTGTGGTCTAGTTACATTATAACTAAAAAATAGATAGTGCTAGTATTATTTTTATTTAGGGGTATTTTAAAAAATAATACTTAAAAATAAAATATTTTTAAAAATAATTTTTTTTTATAATTTTAACTATTTTTAATTAAGTTGGATAAAATTATCCTTAATAAAATTACACGTCAAGATGTTGCACATTGTGTACAGAAACATGTTACACGTCATGGTTAGGTTGTTACACGTCATGTACAAAAACGTGTGACACGTCATGGTTAGGTTGTGACACGCTATGGTTAGGTTGTTACACTTCATATACAAAAACGTGTGACACGTCATGGTTAGGATATTACACGTCATGTACAAAAACATGTTACATGTCATGATTAGGTTGTTACATGTCATGTACAAAAACATGTTACACATCATGATTAGATTGTTACACGTCATATACAAAAACGTGTGACACGTCATGGTTAAGTTGTTACAAGTCATATTAAAAAAAAAACATGTTATGCGCTATAGTTAAAAAAAAGTTATTACACGTCATGTTGAAAAAAAATACTATTATTACACACCATGTTGAAAAATATTATTGTTACATGTCATATTCAAAAACATTTTGTTACACTTTAATGTCTAAACTGTTGTTACTTACAAATCAAAACTTCAAATCTTCTCAACTCTCTTTATTTTTTTTTTATTTTTTGATAATTTAGCACCGATTAAAGTGTTTCTAACATGTTTTTATAAATCAAAACACAAATTTTCTTATCTAAAACGCCTATTTTGAGTAAAAATAGAAAAAAAAATTTATTGAAAACCTAGGTTAATAAATTTTAAAATTTTGAGTTTATTGATGTTTAGATCTTGAATTGATCCGATTAAAAGTTATTTCAAATATCTGTGATCATTTCTACTGTTTAGTTTTATCCAAAATACCTAAAAATCAAATTCTCCAAATAGTCATCTACTCAAGCACATCAAAATCATCGTTTTGTGTCTTTAAAGTACTGGAAAGAGAAATTTAAAAGCGCGAAAGAGAAATTTAAAAGCGCGAAAGAGAAATCGAGAGCATAGAAGATAAATGCCGCAAAGAGAAATTGATAAAATTAGAGAAAGTGGGATGTTGAGAGAGAGAAATCGAAAGCACAAATGAGGAAAAATTGTGATGAATGGTTTAATTTATTTGAAATAGTTTTAAGAGTATTTTCGTCAAGTCATGATTAAATATGACTAAAAATAGTTAAATTTATTTTAATATTATTTTTGAAATACTTTTATCAACAAAAGTTATTTTTTATAATTTTTTTTTATTTTTTGTTTACATTTTTAAGTGCTAGGGAGAGAACAAAAGCTCAAAAGCTCAAAAAAACAAAGGCTATTCTCTTACACTCCTCGACCAAACTTTCTTTTAATAGATGCGAAACCCAATATTTCACGAATTCAAAACTCATGTCGGGCTGCATAGCACATGTTGGGCTCCATCACCAACTGGTTATAAAGGCCCAAACTCTAAAAAAGATCTTCAAATTACAATATTACCCCAACCAAAGAGAAGAATTTTGTATCTTTAACCGAAGCGTCGCCCTTTCGTCACCGCTCGCTCCATTCCAATTTTCACACATTCTACACAAAACCCTAAACCCTACAGCTCCCCTTCCTCAATCTTCCAATGGCGGAGCTAAAACTCTCCGAGAGCCGAGACCTGACCCGAATAGAACGAATAGGGGCACACTCTCACATCCGCGGCCTTGGCCTTGACTTCTCGCTGGAGGCCCGCGACGTCTCGGAGGGGATGGTGGGCCAAACCCAAGCCCGCAAAGCCGCCGGCGTCATCCTCCAAATGATTAAAGACGGCAAAATCGCTGGCCGAGCCATCTTATTAGCGGGACAACCTGGGACCGGTAAAACCGCCATCGCCATGGGCATGGCCAAATCCCTAGGCCTCGAAACTCCCTTTGCTATGCTCTCGGGTAGTGAACTCTTCTCCCTCGAAATGTCGAAAACCGAAGCGTTAATGCAAGCGTTTCGAAAGTCCATTGGAGTAAGAATCAAAGAAGAAGCCGAAGTAATTGAAGGCGAAGTCGTTGAAATCCAAATTGACCGCCCGGCGGTCTCCGGGGCGGCTTCGAAAACGGGGAAATTGACGCTTAAAACGACGGACATGGAGACCGTTTATGATTTGGGGGCGAAGATGATTGAGGCGTTAGGGAAAGAGAAAGCGCAGAGTGGGGATGTTATAGCTATCGATAAAGCTTCTGGGAAGATAACGAAGCTTGGGAGGTCATTTTCGAGGTCCAGGGATTACGATGCAATGGGCCCGCAAACTAAGTTCGTGCAATGTCCGGATGGAGAGTTGCAGAAGAGGAAAGAAGTTGTTCATTGCGTTACGCTTCACGAGATTGATGTCATTAATAGCAGGTAAATTCGAGTTTGGTTTTGGGAACAAAATTTGTGGCTTTGCTGCCTTACTTGAGTCTTAATTTTGCTGTGACTGAAATATGAACTGTTTGTTTACTCATTTATTCTTTTGAAATTAGTTAAGAGATGTTGAAATGTTTACAATTTAGCTTTTAGACTATGTTTGGTTGTTGCTTTTATTACTTTTATGTTGCTTCGGAAAGTAAAAAATAAATAAATAAACAAAAATTATGTTTGGATAAAAAGGCATATGTAACATTTTGGAAGAATTAACAGGTACGAAGACAACATCTAAGTCTTATGTATAATGAGTCAGACAACATATATTTATTTATCTTTGAATATTATTAAAGCAAACCAGTCATGATGCTGTTGAGAACTGAGATTTTGCAAGTTCAGAGCTCTGTGAAGGGGTGAAGAAAGTCGAATAGCTAATAAGACAGATCTCCCATAAGGCATTGGTTCTTCACTATGAATGCATGCTGGCCTCTGCCAATATTTATGAACCTGACATATATGGCTGTCTTATACTATCAATACTTATCTTTTGTCATTGTGTTCAAACAAATATGATTACTACCATTATTTTAATTATTAGAGAAGAATTTATGTATGGAAGCAGTAAAGTGACAGCTCTTTGGCTGATCTGATATAATAAGTAAGATATAAAGAATGTTATATATGTTCAAATATATCTCTCTAGCATGGAATTTCTCCCTTGAAAAGTGGATGGTAAGCTTGATGTTCATATGTCCAACGCAATGTTTATATGGCCAGTTATCTTTGCGAGTCTGCCTTTGGATATTCTTAACATGCCATCTATACTTAAGGACTTTGACGAAGTTTTAAGTTATCTACTATCGAGATTAATCTATTCTGAGTTTATCCTCTGATATCTTATTATGTTTCAATTTCAGGACACAGGGATTTCTGGCACTTTTCACTGGTGATACTGGTGAAATCCGTGCAGAGGTGAGAGAACAAATTGACACAAAGGTGGCTGAGTGGAGGGAGGAAGGAAAGGCAGAAATTGTGCCTGGTGTCCTCTTTATTGATGAGGTGCACATGCTTGATATTGAGTGCTTTTCCTTCCTGAATCGTGCTCTTGAGAATGAGATGGCCCCGATATTAGTTGTTGCTACCAACAGAGGAATAACTACAATCCGGGGCACAAACTACAAATCCCCACATGGAATTCCAATTGATCTTCTTGATCGACTATTAATCATTACTACTCAACCTTATTCTGCTGATGAAATTCGCAAGATTCTAGACATCAGGTGCCAAGAGGAAGATGTAGAGATGTCTGAAGATGCAAAACAACTGTTGACAAAAATTGGGCATGAGACATCCTTGAGATATGCTATACATCTTATCACAGCTTCTGCATTGAATTGCCAGAAGCGGAAGGGGAAGGTCGTGGAAGTACAGGATATCACTCGGGTTTACAGTCTGTTTCTGGATGTAAGGAGATCGACACAGTATTTGATGGAGTACCAAAAGGAATACATGTTTAACGAAGCAGCAATGGTTGATGGTGGGGAAGATGATACTGATGCCATGCACGATTGATAGTTCCTTCAGGTTTAGAATTGAAGATTTTGTGTTATTATGTTTCTTTTTTAATGCCCTTCAAACATGGCATGTCATAGCATCTTACAGTTTGTTGTGTGTCATGACTAATGTTATTTGGGTAGTTCGTGCTGTGCAGCGATGAGTTTGTATGGAATACCAGCTCTTACTTATCCGGTAGTTTCTGCAGGATTGGCTTCCTGAACAAATTTGTGCTGCAACATTAATTTGAAGCAGTCTGGAAATAGTAATCCTAGCACTAGACAAGGTTTGAAAACAAAAAATTATTACGAAGCAGAAGTTGCGTTCTCAATATTTATCATAAATTAAGGAACCTTGTTCCTTCAAAAGACTGATACTGTCTTAGGCGCAGGCTTCCCTGGTCAAGAAAGATGGCAGAACTTCCTATCCAGTTTTTAGTCTATAGTGGCCGTCTCTCATCCAGTACTTAACCCATGCGCTCTGAAAGTTATCATGTCATATTTTGGTTTTCTTAGACGTCTCAAATCTTTGTTCACACTTTTCTTTAACTTGTCTTAAAACACAAACAGTTCCGATTTTTCACGCTGGAAACAAGGCACCCCATTTCTGCATGTGATTAAGGCAAAATCAATGGAGGTTTCATGCTACACGAGCATAATAACAAGCTGATACCCAACCAAACTATCATGTAATAATGAATGTCTTCTTATATTGCCCTAGACCTGGACCAAATAAAACATTCATAGCACCTCTATACATCTCGAGCAAGTGAAACAATCACGCCCAAAGGAAAAGTTCCAGGGTCGGGGACCGAAAGCACGATGCCAAAAGGACTAACTTCTGCTGGACGTGGCTTAAGTTGAACTACTACTGTAAGCTCGGTCCAAGCAGTATCAAATGCAGCCCATTCCCCATTCCAACTGCATCCCATGTAACTAGCAAGGATGAACAGAGGAGTTATGCCATGAGATCACCGGGATTCAAGCCTTGATTCACTGTAGCTATTATCTTCTCTGTTCAACAAAAGAAATTATATGAACATGATTACATGAAGTTCATAGCAACATACCAGCAAAGATTAAGCCTCATCTCAATACATTAAATGGGCATATCAGTTTCTCTTGTGTACCATTGCAACATACCAGCAAAACCACAGAAAACAAATATAAACAATTCAAGCAAAATAGAAAAAAAAGTTAGGAATTACCGAAAAAAAATGAAGTTCGGTGGCTGTAAAACATCTCTGTCACAGTCAGGATTAATTGAAGATTATCTAAAATTTTGCTATCGTGGCTTCTGACAATTACAAGACCATTATTGTGTTGAGATCATCGTTGAATCACCTATTCTCTAAAGGCATGAGGAAGATGGACTCCTTCCCAATCAAAGGACATCAAGCTGATGTGACCAATTCTCTATGTAAAACTTTATTTCTTGTACTAAGCTGAAACACATGTATTCCATTAATAATGTGGAACTTAAGCTGTATGACAAGACATACAAGAATAAGACAGAGAGCTAGCTAAACTCAATTTTCAACATCAAAAAGGAGATTAAAGACCACAACTGTTTTTTTACCCTAATGCTGAAACCAGCTAATCAAAGACTTACCCCAGAGTGCATGTGAAATAATTAATTAATTTGAAAATTTCTGAATTCCCATTTGCACAAAACAAGAAGTGATTGATTTGAAACCAGAGTTATAAATCCATGAATTTGTTGCAAATCCAATTAAAATTGGTATAGTTTTACAAAGTAATTCCACCAAACAGTAAAGAAATTGACACCTAGTAATAAATGTGTATAAATAAATATCAGTAGTTAGAAACACTGTAATTACAGGTGAGATTGAATATAAGGCGTGGCATACATAAAAATTCTACCTAACTCAAAAGAATTCTTTAAAGGTCTCTACCAAACCAAACATAAGAAGTATTTGAAAAATGAGTTCAACTAAGAACTGATTTGGTGAAGGGAAGAGAATATCTTCAGTCCCTTTCATGCTTGCAAAAAGCCCCATAATTTAGTCAAAAGCAAGTCTTAGTACCAGGCAAAACCATCCCTCCACCATTCTTTAATTCCCAAATCCTCCAAAATCCCCACCTACCCAACACCAACATCATTCCTCCATCATAAAAGTAAACAATACCATCCCTCAATCATGCATTACTTCAAGACTTCAAAGCCCCCCACCTTCTCAAAAAATGGTAAGTAAAAGTAAACACTTTTAACATGTATAGCTAAAAAAGAAGAAAGCAAATAACAATCAAATCTCTGTGTCATAAAATAATAATAGAAATCACACTACCTTCTTTTTTTTTTTTGCTTTGTTTTGTTTTACCAGGGACCCTCATCAGCAGGGTAGTCATAAGGAACTTCAATAACAGTGGAGGAGTCCCGTAGATCCGGGCGCACGAACCCATACTTACGCAAAACCTGATTATCAGCAAAATTCAAAGCTTTCACCATCCCATTCCAACAAGTTTCACCAGCATACATCTGATTGTGGTCCCCACTACAAGGCTGACACCCCGTGAAATGCGTGATAAGCGGTCTCCTCCAACTTCCTTTCCCATTCCCAGCTTCCTTCAGAAACTCTTCCCTAAACGCAGCGTATTGCTCGCTCACTTTCTCTGCATGTCTCCTCCTCAACTTAGGCGCCCCTCTCTCTATTTCCAAATACCTCTCCGTAGAATTTTCATAGCCTCCAACAATCTCCACCCAATACCCTTCAAGGTAAAATTCACCTTCTAAATAAATATGATCATAATACTTCTCTTTTTCTTTGTAAAGCAAATAAATCAGCGCCGACTGATCATCAGATTCCGGGAAAAGCTTGTCTTTGAACGTTGATCTTTGAATCTGACCCCATTTAACATAATCCTTACTCATCGGACCCATGCTAGACCAAGTATTAATCAAATCCATAGACCATTGGCAATTCCTAAGCAGAAAAACCCCAGCATTTAAACTGGTCCAACTTTTACTTTGATAAATCAACTTAGGCCAACCATGAACAACCATGTTATGGTTTTTATACCTTTCTAACGGTAACTTAAACTCCATGTCGGTAAACGCCGCGTCGGAGTCAACCCACCAGATCCACTCAGCTTCGGGGTGAGCCAACATGGCTGCTTTAACGACCGGTAACTTTGCCCAATAGGAATTCATTTTGGGGTGTAATAACAAGTTGTTATAAAAAATATCGTAGCCGTGGATTCTACAGTAATCGACCTTGTTCTTGAAAAAACGTAAGAGTAAATGATCACCAATGGGATTCTTACACGCCTTTGGTTGGGACCCAGTTACAAGCACGATTCTTTCACGTGCTTCGGCGGCGAACGAGGGGTGATGCTTTAGCCACTCTTTCCGTTTTTCATCCCAATCTTTCACCGGCTTTTCTAAAGAGTAACTCATCTCTGGATCGTCGTAAAAGGTCGGCTCTTTCGGGTCGGACTTTAGGTTAACTCCGAACCCACTTTCCATGCAGTCGACCGGATTCTTCCTCAACTTGGACGCCGGCTCGGTCATGGTGGGGTCGAAGTAGGGAGTTGGAGTGAAAAATGACCAAAATGACCATACTAACAAAAGAGCTAAACAAGCACCACCAAAGAAAAGAAAGCCATCGGACAGACACCAAAACGGTCGGTTTCGCGGTTTTGCCATGGGAGAAGATTGGAAGTGAGATAACTCAGGAGACACCATTTTTAAAAATTTTTTGCGTGTGGGTTTTGAGGTTTAATGTTTGTTAGTTGACGAGATTTGTTTCTAATGGTTTGAAGAGAAGACAGGAAGTAAGGCCAAAAATTGGACGTCCAAATTTGGCTGGGTCATTAATGAAGACAATGGAGCGGACACTGTCCTTACTGTTTCCGCTTTGCTCTTTAAAAGTGAAGTAGCGTCGGTTTCGGTGCACCGGGGATGCTAAAATGCGCGGGCTGTAAAGCAGAGGAAAGCGGGGCGTGAACCGCGGCTTGAGAACACGTGGGAGGTTGACACGTGAAATTTAGGGTGCCGACAGTTTGGACTGGACTGGGATTTTTCACGTTGGACTCTTTGGGCTGCAAATTGTCCGTTATTTCCGTTTAATTGTCTTTTTAATTTTGTACTTAGGGTTTAAAGAAGGATTATGGGCGAATGGCGGAAAGGCACGAGATTGGAGGACGCTTTACTTGCATGTTCTCAACAGAATTTTGCAAGCATCAATCTCAGATCTGGACCTGGACCCCCAATAAAACAAAATAAAATATTACAAATATATTATTAAAAGAATATAATGAATTCTGAGACAGTAACCTTTGGACTTATGACAGATAAGACGAGGAGACCGGGCTGTTGAGTGTGACTTTTTGTACCAAAAACTCTCAATTTTTAATATTTTTGGCCTATTTCCGCATCTAATTAACGAGTGTGTCATCGAATAATTGATCTTATACAATGTAATATAAGCATTCATTAGAAGCAGAGAGATTTGCTTTGATAGTAAAACTTTTGATCGATGCCTTGATTTGAACAACTTAAACTTGATTTAAACGTTATTAGAAAATCAAGGTGTAAAAATCAATTTCTCCCGGGGCCTACCAGAAAATACCATAATTTGAGGCTGGAATTCCTTGCTGCGCATATCTTAGGATTTTGGGCGAATTAAATATTTGTCTGTCATGCTGGTGCCAATAATACACACCTTTACATAAGATTACTCACAAAGGAGCGAAATTTTTTTCTTGGTATCCAACAAGAATACCCTTTTGTTTGAAATGATTACAGAGTTAAATTCATCATCATTGGTAGTAGAACTAACTGATACCAGTAAAAAATGTTTCAAACAAAACGCCCACGATGTAATAATTTTGCAATTTCAAATTTAAAATTTTAAAATAAAGTATTTTGTCACCTTATGTTGGCGTTGCAAGGAGAGCATGTTACGTTGCAATTGTGAGTGCTCCCCAACTGAAGTACAGAGTGAAGATGACGTTCCTAAGAGCTACCTGCAGAGACAGCAACGGTTCGGACCATACTAGGGTCCCCTCATGTGAGCCTCTGACAATTAGGCCCCAATAAAATTTTTTGAAAATAATTATAGTTTGCCTGATAAGTGGGGGGCTTTCGTGGCTCAGTTGGTTAGAGCACCCGTTTAGTAAGCGGGAGGTCTTGGGTTCAACTCTCAACAAAAGCAGGCTTGTTTCTTTGATTTTCTTCTAATCCATCACTTTGGTACATCCTTATCGCTTTACACAACATTGGTAGGCATTCAGCTCAAATTTCACCCATTTATGAACGCCGAGGGAATTCAATTTTTAGAAGCTCAGAAACATGAACAAGGCTCTGGTGTCCGTCCCAAAGCAACTTATGACCCTACCATAGTTGATTTGCAAGAAACTTACAAGCATTTAGACTTTTATATTACATATTTATGTTAAAACTGGATCGTTCTTGACTTTAAGACAACAGATTTATGATCGAATATACATTGCGATTTGTGACAATGGGTTACAACATATTCCCATTGCATCCATATGTGGCACACCTACCTCTGTCCAACTAGAAAGAACTTAAAAACAGAGGAACTCCTTCACTAACCAATTATTGTCTAGTAACACTTCTTTAACAGCCATTTAGATCCCGCCATTTGAGGTAAACCAATCCTGCACGATAATGAGTGTATGCCCCAGCCACAACCAAGATGTGAAAAAGTTGGTGGCTGTGCCCAGCAATGTCAAATTTACCAGGCTTCCACCGCTCAGGAATCCTTGTGGCATAGACCAAAGCTCCAATACCATAGAAAAGCCCCATCAAAACCTCATACCCGGTTGTGTGAAGTGCCTCAGGCTGGTTCCAAAACAAGAAAAGCTTGTGAAGAATAGGCGCAATCCCAGACATGCCCATGCCAAAGAAGAGTGATGCACGAATAGTACGAAACTCGGGATTCTGAAACACTGGTAATAAGGAAAACAATATTGTTGCGATTCCCAAGATGGTTATGAATCCCAAATAGAGGTTACAGAAGAATGGGTCACACATGAAGGAGTAATACACAGGAGGGTAGAAGGAAGTAGATATGAGAGCTGCAATCCCAGCATAATCTAGCCTGAGCATGATGTATGATAGGCGCTCAGAGTGGCAAGAAAGGAGGTGGCATGTGCTGCTAGCTAGCAAGCAAAACATTGCACCAACCAAGAAGGCAAAAAATGGCCATCGTGTTATTGGTCTCCCCATCAAGGGTGCTATTATGTTTGCCACATCCTCCTTCACACTTTGCTGCAATCAGAAATATCACAGAAAAAGTATCAGCTGCAAGAAGCTCCAAAGATGTAAAAATCAAGTCAATCACTAACAATTAAAAAGAATAATTATCTACTACTTTAACTTTCTACAATGCAATTATAGAGATACCAGTCTTCCCAGGAAGCTGAAGATGACACATGAAATGCTCGTTTAAGTACATTTCTCTTAAAACTATATGCATTATGTAATCATGGACTAAAAAACTAGTGCCTATAGTTAAAAAACACTATTGAACTATCACCATTGGAGCAGTTGATTCCACATTGCAGGGACACTTGCTAAACAATCCTCATGCCATCTAATTCATAATTAAAATTCCACATGGTGAGCTTAAAGCACGGAAATGGTGTTGTTTAAAAAGGTTCTAGAGTTACTTTTTCAGCAAATTGTTTGCTCAGACAAAAAGACTTAGTTTATGCCCATAGCCATAGGCCCTTGGCTTGTTGGCATTCAGTAACCCATGAGAAACTGCTGAAAGTTTTAAACAAGGGCATACAGAGTCAGGTTCTCATGGCAAGTACACCCCTATCCCCCCACCCTACCCATCTGGAGGCTGTAAAACTTGCTGGCAGTTTCCAGTGTAAAAGCTAGCAATATTTAGTTAAGGCCTTCTTCATCCCCCAGAATTCCAACTAATGGGCTATTAGATCCTCTGCTAAACATGCTGTCATTAAATTCTGGCCAAATCCTCTAAATCACTCATCACTTAAAAATGGCACTCATTATCTTAATTCATTTCCTCCAACCTTTTACTTCTCAACTTTAGAATCCTTGTAACATTTACTAACTACTAAATTTATCAACAGTTTACTGAACCGCTCATCCTCGGCTCAAACTGTAAGACAAACTCAGATTTTGTTCTCTTTTATCAATATAATATATAAGCTGTCTCCTAACAACTTTTGGATCCTCATAACAATTAGTACTAATGAATAAATTTATGGACAGTTTTTTGGACTGCTCCCCCTTGGCTTCAAATGGTAAAACAAGCTGAGACTTTATCTCTTTTATCTATATAATATTTCCGCTGTCTCCTGACAAAAACCTCTCCCTTTTTGCTCCTCTTTTTACCTTGTAACTGAATCCATCAGACCAGCCAAAGATGAAATTAACAGCATCTTAACCTAATGCTATTGAGAAAACAAGACCAAACTCCAATATTAACGATCAAATGTTGAAAAAATAAAGGCATGACATCAGAAACATTGTAAAACACCATATAATTTGATATTTAAGAATAAATCAAAACAATAAAAAGAAATGTCAGCCAAGTTATTCCAAAATTAGTTGCATTGAGACAATTAAGCAGATTACAGAACAAGAGGAAATGTTGAAATTCTGCAAATATATCAGCAGGGATTAAGCACCAGAAAAAAAAATTTAACACTGCTCAGGTGACCAGCTAGTGATTAGAAGACAGCAAAATATCCTAATTTTTGAATTACGCAAAATCTTAAGATTATGAAATAGCTTGTTGAGGATATGAAGCATTACCAGAACACAAACATCGGAGTGATTCCCACTGGAGAAACACTCAGGTAAACAGTTATACAGAAGTTCCACAACATGCCAACCGGAGAGTGATGGAATAAAATCCATTGAAGGAAGACTAGTCTTTAACTCCTCTCGAAGTTTGTGCAAATTGGGCATGTTTGGCAAGGAAGGCAGGCATGTGATTAGTTCTGACTGTAGTTTGTGTAAATCAGCCTTTCTCAATACATCAGGAATATGCTGCAGAGAGTGAAGATCAACAACCTTTGGAACCTTCGTTGCAGTGTATATGGTAAGAGAAAGGAAAATGAAGAACCCAATCAAATGCCTGTAAAAGGTAATGGTCATACTCGTCAAATTATAGTGCAAGTGACAACATATTAATCTATGATCTATAAAGCAACAGTCATCTCAGAAACATGGACTACAATATCGAAGAAATAAAGAGTAATATTCACTTGATAACACCATGAAAAGTACTTCACAAATTGACACATGATTACATTTCTTCCCTATATTTCTAATTCTTCTCTTTCCAATTCTAAACAGAAAGGTTAAAACACAGCTAATTAATTCCTTGGCACATCTACGTATAACAAATGTTCTTATTTATGACACATCTTTCACTCAACATAAAAGCAAGAATACAATAAACAATCTTCTTAAAACATGAAAAGAATCCAATGAAATCTAGATACGACCAACCAAAAAGTAAGTGATCTTTGGGCACTGATTAAGGTTTTTATTTTTTAACTGAAGAAGTATTTCCACTCAATGCAAGAGAAATAAAATCAGCCCATTCACAGCCAACTACTGTATTAAAGATGAAATTTTTTTCATTAAACATGGCCTTACAATTACCCTGAGGACTGTTCACATTTGCCAAAAATTAAAGGAGGTAGTGCTTAGCAAGCAAAGAAACCTTACGTCCAAACATTTAAAGTCTCGTTGTGAATTTTGAAGATGCTAAGCAAAACTTGCTTCATTGGCCATTCTGATCTATAATGGCCCACAATATACTCATTGTCCCTCAAATATCCGGGCAATGAGTGGTACTCTACCAGCTGATACTTTACTTTTTTCCACAATCTCTTC